AGGACGGAGGGAAGCCCCAGGCTCAGCCCCACCAGCCATGACCAGCTGTTGCTCTCCTGGGACAGGCTCCGCACCATCTGAGCAGGAAGGACAGCTTCCAGCCTCCATTTTTCTAGGAGCCTGTGGTCTTCAGCCTCTTCTGAGAACAATGACTTCTGTAAGACTGCGTGGCTTACAGGCTGTGATCGAAAAGTGACCATTCACCAGTGCATGCCAAAGACGCGGAGAAACAGCAAAAGTGAAACAGAACAGTGCAGCCACACTGTCCAACCCCCAAACAACTGTAAAAGCCCCGAAGAAGACATGCTATTTTCATAGGAGAAAGAAGGGTAGTTTCCTACAAAACCTCTGCACTGTTTATTCAAAAATACACTCCCAATTATATCTATCCAATGTCCCTAACACTCCATTATTAGATCTACATGAATGGATAAGATACTAATTTCTGATTCTTTAGAAATGTAATTTTTTAGGAAAAAAAAAATGTCTGGGATACCCCTCCTCCTCCTCCCAAAAAGGAAAGCACCTGGACAAGACTGAAGAAGTCAATCAAATAAAATTCATTTCTATCTTTGCTTACTCTACTAAGATTTGACATATACACAGAGAATGGTCACTCAGAAGGTAACAGTATCAGATGTCTACATCTCATAAATCATAGAGATAAATGAGAGTTATAAAAAGGAAACACCCTCAGATTTGTTTAGTCAAAACAAATACCGGTACTCCTCACTTGACAACTGAGTCACAGTCCTGCAATGAAGCAGTTAAGTGGATTGTTCACTAAATTAGGAACTGTACGTAGGACAGACATTACAATATTCAGAACAAAAAACTGGTCAAAGGAAACTTCAACTTGATGACTTGGCTTTTATATGCACAAATCATGCAATACTATTATGTGTAACACAACATAAAGCTATAGTACTATACAGTGTGATCAGCAAAACTTATACTACTGTACCTAGAAGCCACCGCAAGGCTGCACTACAATTCACACTCTAGTGCTGTAAGCCCGGGAGCAGGCTGTAAGTCCAAGAAGAGGGTCCTACATCCGAATAGCTCTCCTTGGTCATAAGTCTGATCAGTAAACAGGTAGGTCCTTCAACAAGGAATAGCTCTACTCATCAATCTCTTACTATGTCCCAGGCAGGAAACTGGAGAACTAATAAGAACAAGATCTGAAAGCTGGTCACGTAAAAAGACTTCGATCTTCCGTGGAGTCCTGCACAAAGCCAGGGGGCAAGAAGTAGGTGACCTAGAGTTGAGTATAAACAGCTATTTCAAAAACAAAATGGGCTGAGAAGGAAAGAAGAGAATTTAAACACACAAATGTGAAGCTAAGGGGATTCTACTTTTTCACTGAGTTGTTTTCTAGTTTGCCTTATACTTGCTGGAAGCCTGACCACATGTAAAGGCCACAGGCAGGTGCGTTAGCAAGACAGGAACATCTGTGCGTAATCCTCACGAAGGCAGGAGCAGGTGAGCAGCACCTAGCTACAGGATGGGTCCTAGCATAAACACAGTGTCTACCCCTTTTACATGCAAGACAATGGAAGTTTCTTGGCAGAAACACCATGGGATGCACTCAGACACTTCTTATCTCTTATGTCTAAAGCAGGTGGCAAAATCATCACGAGAACAGAATCTGCAGAGATCAAAAGCAGGGGCTAGTGAAGAAAACTCTCCCTAGAATACTCCTTCGTGGCCAGGATGGGACTGGTGACCATGGGTTGATAAGGACACAAATACAGATACAGACTTTCCCCAGCTGGTCCCTGCAACTTGGACCCAAGCATTATGCAAGGCAGAGCTGAGATGAACCAAGGGTGAGAATGAGCCAGTCAGACTGTGAGGTAGTGGCTTGGGAGTAAGGATCACAGAGCCCACCTGAGGAAAAAGAAAGTAGGTCTAGTTGAGCCAGGAGAATAGGCTGTAACTGGCTTGTCACGTGGGCGTGACCTGTCAATCATAGAATTTGAGGCTATAGGCACAGGTCAGTTCCCAAAACTGCACACCTGGGACCAATCAGAAAGCACAATCTTCAATTTTTCTGGAGAGAACCTACACAGGTTTTTCACAGGATGGCCTAGACTTGAGGGTAGCCTACAGAGTGGGGGACGCAAAAGATGGCGCCACTGAGCGCACAGTCCCTGAGCTCTCCCCTTCACCCACCTCCTGCACCTTTCCTTTAACTGGCCTACACTCACTCTGCAGAACATGTTTCTTTTTCTCCCTTTAAGTAAAACCCTGCTACCTTCTGTGCTCGTTTTGTCCAATTCTATATTCAGGACCAGAACCTGCAAAGAGTCTCTAGAAGGAGACTCCAAAACCCGGTAACAGGGTGGAGGTAAGGGAGAAACACGAGGATGAGGCAGTAAGCAAAGAATGAAAGGTGTGGGCTCTGGGTGTGAAGCAGGCGCCTTTCTAGGTCAGAACAGCATATCTCACGCTGGTGCTGCTCCCTCTGTGTTGGTCCCCTCCTCTGTGGCTAGAGCTGGAAGCTGGCTCGACTTAATCCTCCCGTTTCTTCTAGCTCCTAGCTTCTCTTTGAGCTTCACCATCCTTCTGTACGCCCTGGCCCTTCCCACACTCTGCAAGCAGTCTCTCCTTATTCAAACCATCTGGCATGAGTGCGGCTTCCTGCTGAGACCCTGACTGACACAAATCATACCACTCACAGAGGGTTTTCATTAGAACTAAACAGAGGCCAAAACACCCTGACTTTCTGTCTTGTCCTGCAGTAAAATTATAACAAAATTAAAGTTAAATACCCTCCAAAATCACAGAATCTCAGAACTGGAAAAGGCCTTTAAAAACTCATTCAAACTCAGCAGTGAAACAAGTGCCAGCTACTGCTAGCAACAGCAGCCCTGTACACTTTTACCGGAGTGTTTACTGTGTGCTCAGCACTATTCTGGATGTCCTGGGGGAGGAGGTGTTCGTTGCTTAATGACCACCAAAATTTACTGTAAGCTGAAAATATTAAAAATGACTTCTACCCTCTAAAACAAAAACAAAGCAAGCTGAATGGTCCACCCCAGTCTTAAACACCATGGAGAGTATTCAAAGAATGTTCAGAAAGCTTTTCTGCTGGCTAATACAATTTTCCAAATAAACAATTTGTCTAGCAAATCAGTTCCAAACTCCTCTGCCTGGCGCCAAGGCCTCCATAGTCCACATTGCACTCGCTCACCAGCCTGCAGGCCTCTGCTCCCCTTGCAGCCCAGATGGTCACAGGCCTTTCCCATCATGCTCCACTGCCCCAAAGCTTTCCCCATCGCTCCAGCCCCAAATCATCCTTCCCTCTGATGGACTCCTGCTGTACCTACACTCGATTCCTGAAAGATTCTTCAAGATAACATGATACACTGAGAGTTTAGTTCTGTGCTGTTCTTTAAATGCAAAGGCAAAAATTCTCCTTCCGAACCTGAATACTGTTTCTGCCATGTGTGGCAGGTATACGCTAAGGGGAGAGGGGAGGGTCCGCCAAAGATGACTGAATCTAATCCCTGTGCAGCAAGGGCACAGTCCTTTGACTTGTGTGTAAACACTAGTGAGTTACAGCTCCACCACCAGGGATAAGACATGTGCTACGTGGGTAGTGGATTTACTGAGCTGACAATTTTCAAAGCAGGGATTCGAAAAAACAGTGATAATCTAGTTTTACATACATTATTCTCTGAATACCCAAAAAAGGAAACTGAGGCCCAAAGAGACGAAGTAACTCAGCCAGTGCTGCAGAGCAGGCCAATGGCAGCCCAAGAACCAGTGAACAGTTGCTGTAACCAAAATGCTTCAAGCCATCACTTTTAAACTGAGATCCAACAAATCTAAGGGGGTGTCCACAACCCCAAGGTCATAATTTCTCTACAATTACTAAATGTTTGTGCATTTCATGGATAACCCTTTCAGCTCACATTAACATATTCTAATACACACAATTTACATAGGCAGTCCTGCCACATTTTACCCAGGGTTGTGGGGTCATCCAACACCCCACATTGCTCAGCAGAGCCCTGCGTATTTTCCAAAGTCTCTCCTGCTCAGCGCTGGCCGACATCTCACCGGTTCAATGCCTACTGTGGTAGGCGTTGTGAACGAGCCCTTGCTAGGTAATGAAGGGTAAACTGCAGCGGTGATAATGCACCTGTAGCTCCAGCATGCAAGAGGCTGAGGCAAGAGGGTCGCTTGAGCCCACCTCAAAAGAGGAATAAAAAGAGAGTAAACTGAGAACAGGTACAAAAGTGAGAGACAACTCTCTAAGCAGCACTTCCTGCATGACCTCATCCTGCTGCTACCTGACACTGTTCCAAGTCCTTCGCAAGACTGCCTTTGGAAAATATTGTCAGAGCCAAGTTAGGTTTTCTGTAAGATTCACAAAATAATGGGGCTCTCAAACATACGTGGAATGGATACAAACTTAACCAACGAGGACAACAATCATCTTGTGGAGCAATTGTTCAAAATGATATCCAGTACATGATACTAAATACTTGACAAGGAAAAAATCATTTTCTAAAACACGAACTGTTCTGAGTTATACTGGGAGAGCCTACGCTGCCCTGCTTAAGACGACTTAATTTCTGCTTCAACAGAAGACGTTCCCTGGTGTGAGCACCCTCTTCACACACCGGTGGGCCTGGGGAGGCTCGTTTCCAGGCCCTCTGTCACTAAAGGAATCAGCTGCACGGAGCCGGCCCGCACGCGAACCGCACTCGCAGCCCTGGGCAGCGGGGGGCAGGTCGCCCCGCGCCGGCTCGCGCTCCGCACCGCGGCCCCGGGCGTGCTCGGCTGACG